CAGAGAATGACTGAGGGTACCGAAAATTCCCATTTCCTCAGCTGCTCAGTAAGTTTGGACAAGTGATAAAATGTACACAGTCATGAAGAAGGAGGCAGGACATTTGTTCATACCAGCGACAGAAAATAGGAATTTATACTTTACTGGGCTGTTAGTCATGTTTTGACTGCACATTTAGTATAGAAGGTAGCTTTTGGCACTTCTGTGCAGCTTCCAAAAACCTTCACTCTAATGCTGCATTTGTAAATAAAGAAGCTTGGTGGTGATTTCAGGCCCTGTGAGACCTGAAGCTTGGCAATTTAAAGCCAGTCCCTGGAATTCAGTTTGCATGCAATGAGAGGATGTAAATCTGCTGCCTTGTTCAAAAGAGCAGGTGCCTGAGCTCAGGTGTATGGGAACAAGCACCAGTTTCTGTACTTCATTTCTGTATCAAACGTCTGCATCAAATGAAATTATTGTAGTCAGGATATGCCTGGAGGAATCTTCTGTCTAATCTGCCACGAATTGTCAAGCTACTGCATGCAGGGTGGTGTCATAGCATGGAACAATGGCTAAACCTCACCTGCCAGCAAGGAAAGGCAGGGAGGGAACCCTCTGTCATGGTAATAGGTCAGTAGTCACTGCTGATGGCAGAGCTGTCTCAGAGTGGGTCTTTCCAGGTAGCTAAGGGCTCCTGCAGTAACAAGCAGTAATAACTCCTGAAGGCAGATGATGTGGAACAGAAATGACCTTCCAACACCCTCACAGATGCTCTCACCTTCTTGAGTGTGAAAGGCTGCTCTGCACTGTACCAACCTGCTGGGCATTTGGCTGTTACCCTGGCCATGTCACTGTGCAGTAACATTTTTGGATTGGATGAAAGTGCTTTAGATGCATCAGACACACACAACCAAGTGATGTGGAGCAGTCTACTTTGTGGGAGTTAAGTGCTGCCTCTTGGATAACACCAAACGTGATTCACAAGTAATGAAATTTTAACTCTTGCATTGTTCACATTGCAGAAAAACATTTCAGATCTGTTTGATTTCTTTGGGCTAGAATTAAAATTGTTGCTGCAGTGACAAGCACTATCGCTCTTGACATTGCTTTGAATATTTTGGGAATAGAGTCAGTGTTTAAGGTGATGTTGAACACCTCTGTTTTTTTCAGACAACAGTGTGATGCAGACATGACTGGATTACACTGTTGGTACACCCTTGATGGACTCCCTAACAGAACTCTGCAAATAATTTTTTCTTGGACAAAATAAAGGGGCTGACTGCAGGACACCCAGCTTTGTCAGTGTTCTGGGAATTGCACTTGGTCTGTGCATTTGTTAGGGGTCTTTGGAGAGCAAGTTGATTATATGCTTCTGGCAATTTTCACTTGATTAAGGATCTTCACTGTAGATGAGCTCAAATGCAAGCAGAAATAGCTGAAAGAACTAGGAGCTTGTAATAGGAGTTAATAATAATCTCAGTGCAGAGGTGTGCTGCTCTCAGGGACTGGGCCCAGCATTAAAACTGGTGCATCAGTCCAGTTGCAATTCCAGACAGAAGAGGCCATAGCTACAAGAACACAGTTGTTTGGAAGAGCAGCAGAATAGGCTGGACAGGATTGCAAGAGGGCACAAATGGGAAACATAAAGTGGATCTGAGAAAGGAATGAATTGTGCTAGGCTGAACCTTGAAGTCAGCTGGATAGCTGTTCATGGTCTCAGGGCAGGCACAGGCTTCAAGACCTGAATGAAAGGAGAGAGTGAACGATTCAACCTGTCTTGGCCCATCCATGCAGTGCACTGTCTCTTTCCTGTAGGTAAGAGTGCTGAAATATTCTCTAATGTCATTCACACTCCAGAGAGAATAATAGATGAGTTGTACATACAGGATCATCAGCTGTCTCTCTGCTCAGTAGCATTCAGAGAGCTTTTAGGTCAAAACAGAATGTAAATTTATCGAAGGTTTTATGGAAATGGTGTTAAGTGACAGAGCAAGGAAGCTTGGCTTTGGATTCAAAGCTCTGAAGAAGGTCAGTACCAAGAACAATCTGGTACAATAATGAGAGGTTCATAAATGGTTTCCCTGAAGCATTGACCCTTTCACAGGATAAGGATTACAGATACCAGATACCTGTGTCAGCTTGAGAAGGTATTCTCTGCTTTGAAGTGGAAGTGGGACTGGATGCCAAGTCTCTATAATAGAACTTCCTCACAAGGGCTGCAAATTTGGTTATATGTTATTTATAGCAAAATTAGGTTATATAAGGAGATAGGCTGATTAATCCAATGGTCAGGAGGCTGCTAACCCAAGTAACATGAAAGCAGGTGTTTGAGTATTTTCAGTACCACTGAGGGTTTTACCATGGTAAATTTAATAGGTGCTTGTTTTTTGAGTTTGATTTCTGCCTCTAGCTGTGTTTTTATTCCATGTTACATAAGCATATCTTGTTAATCTGTAAATAAAATGAGTGTGTAATAGAAGTGAAAAATGAGTTTACAGAAAACACGTTTTAATGCAGACCTAAATGATGTCCTTTAATGTCTATTTTTAGCTGGGTAGATAAAAATTTTAGCACTCCTTTCCTTTCGTAACCAAAAGGCACCCCTCTCATTCTTTTTTATGCAAATTAGGACTCCCACACCATTAAATCATTTTTATTGACTATTGAGCCTGCAAAGAAGCGGACTGAACTTTAATATGCTACATTACCATACCATAAAATACAATTTGTAGTTCTTACTTAGATTCTGTTTTGCTGTACTTCCTCTAAATAATTGTTATTACTGAAGAAGATTTACAGGCGCCATAGAAAGAATAAGTACTCTCTATTTTGCACACATTGAAACACTGTGCATGATTTCACATCTAAACCCACTTGCTCCCAGTCCTGTTCTGAAATTAAACAAGTCACACCATGCTCTTAGTTGCTGATAGAGCTTTTAGTATGGCAGCATCCAGAAATTCTGCTGACTTCAAACAGTGCCAGGATTTCACCCCTTCTTTTGTGCTGCTAAGTTTGTGCAAACTTTGGGGATAGAATGTTCATCTTCAGGCTGTGAAGTGTCACTTTGCACATCCCCAGGCTCATTAATGCCACATGCATGGCGTCAGCTGCTATGCAGCACTTGGCAGGAAAACGCTCTGTTCCTTGGAGGTGCAAGGAAAATACTGTCCTCCCACCAATTTTTTGCATAAGGCTGTGCACATATTCAGCTTGACAAGGTACATGGCCTTGCCTTCTGTTATTATAGATAGCTGCAGCCTCTTGGAGCCAAGGGAAGGGATGCATGCAGAGATTTTATGATTAACCAGGAAGAAATGCGTATGAGTCATTCTGAAAGAGTATAACTCTTCTGAAGGAACTAATATTTTGCTCATGTTGACAGCCTTGGAGAATGACATTTATCTTGTACCACAACCTAGAGATGGCTGAGAAATATTCAAGCATTTTCTCGACAGTGTCTCACCCTTTTTCTAGGAGGGTCACCTCAGAAGTGGAAGGGTGTTCAGCCATGCTGTCACTTCACTACAGAATAATTTTTGCTGTGACAGTAGAAATGCCATTTATGATCCCAGTCTCATGTAAGATAGGCCAAAGTGGAGCCTTCCCGTGGTCAGGCAGGGGACTTCCTTTGAGATGCTTCCCTGCTCAGCTCTAGCAAGCTCCACATCACCATGCCAAGTCCCCACAGTCATCTGGGTCTCCCAGGGTTTTGAAATTGGAGAGTTTCAAAGCTATTCAAGAGGAATTTTCACTCTAATTTCCCCACTCACAGAGACAACCTAGGAATATTCACTGCCTTAAAAAGTCAGGACATTTAAGGTTGTGTCTTATTTCAGAATTGTTATTCTAAATCTGGAGCTTGAATTAGTAATTTTGAATTGGACTCTTGAACTGTCAATACTTACTGCATGACATCAGTTAAAAAAATATAAGAGAGAGACATTGAGGTTTTGTAGTGAGAGCATGTAGAACACAGGGTATGGACCAAAGAGCAATGCCTGCTGTATGAAGAGAATTATTTTATCTACATACGTGCTTATGTATGTGTGTCTATGTATATATATATATATATATATATAAACAGTTTCCCTTTTCAATTACCTGTGAAAACTGAGCATCACTTTTTGACCATTTGAAAGAATTAGAATATTTCAGTTAGAAGGGACCTACAACAATTATCCAGTCCAACACCACAATCATCTAGTCCAAATCCTGAGAAATGTTAAAGTTCAACCATGAGATACGTTATAAAATTTATTATGAGACATTATTTTATTAACAAGTTGACATTCAAACACAGAAATATGCCTTGCATATTTTTTTTCTACGCAAACCACTAAGATAGTTGCTGATAGTTGAAGAAAGTGAGCAGTCTCTTCCAAGAGCTGTATTTTGTTTTTCTGTAATGTATGAGGATGTAAATGGGTGAATACACAATATAAATAAGTCTATAAGAGCCTTTTGATTTTAAGTTTCTGAACTATTAAGAGACAGTTGTCTAATAAACTTGTCAAATAAGAAAAGAAAAACACTTTCTGTCACCTTTTTAAATGGGAAAGTACTCTCCTAAGTTATCCAGTGTCCAGCTCAGACATGTCCTATTACTCTGACATTTTTGAAGTTCTCAGTAGACAATGATGGCTTATTCTGTTCTTTTTTTCTCCCCCAGACTATTTGGAAATACCTTTGATGACTCCAAGTAGCACTGCTTCCTTAGGGCTCAGTTCAGCACTATTTTCTTTCCCAGTGGAGGAATCCATAAGGCCTTTGTCAGGACACCACTCAAAGGTGTCCATGAACATCTGTATAGATCCCTTAGCATTAGGAAAAGATACATTCAGTGAATCCAGTAATGATAATAAGCACTAACCATAGTGCAGGATCATGGCCTCATGTTTTAATATGCTTAAGTCAGATGATATATAATTAATATGAAGAAAGGTCTCTGCTTCATTTCATCTAATGGCAGGGTGTTCTTTGCTTTATTTTTATGGCTTGATGTTTTGTTTTTCCTTCAGCTGAACTCTTCCTGGAACAGCAGCATCTCAAAGAAGCAGGCTTTTGTACCCAGGAGGCAGCTAGTCTTTTCCCCACATCTCATGCTGTACTGTACATGCGTGGGAGGCTTGCAGAGATGAAAGGCAATTTGGAGGAGGCTAAGCAATTGTATGATGAAGCACTCACAGTGAATCCAGCTGGAGTGGAAATTATGCACAGCTTGGTGAGTTTGCAGGGGCTCAGCTCCATTATAGTATTTATGTTCCTGATTAACTGTAATAAGAGGGGAGAGGGCTCATGCTTGCTCTGGATGCCATTGTCTTCCTGATCCTGAAAGCAAGTGACCATTCCAAGAATAAATTGGGTAGTTTGAACCTCTGTTTTAAGACTGGATTGAATTTTGTAAACTAATTAGGACTTGTGTCAAAAGTAAATACTTTAATTGACAAAGGCTGACGCTTTTGGAAATCAGTTCACTGCTTTGTCTTTGCTGCTTTTCCTACTAAATGTTATGCATTTTAAACAAACAGTACATTGATGTTTGAAAGATCAAAACTAAACTATAGGCAGATAGATAAGGGGTTTGTAAAACTTGGGCTGGTTTCTTGTGTCTGCTAAAATCAGGATAAACTATGAGTTTACAATAAAATTAATCTGTTACTGTCATAAGCTGCAGTTTATTTCCAGTCTTGTGTACAGGCAGGGACTCCACACTTGTGGGGATTTTTTGGTAACACTCCCACCCAGCAAGTATTCTTCTTTGGTACCAAGCCCAAAACAAACTGTTTTCCAGACACTGGGCCTAAAGCTTAATAACAATAATAATTATACAGGGGGCTTTGTGGATGACCAAAACCCAGTTCTCTTGTGAAATCAGAGCAGCTAAACATATTTTGTCAATGGTGTGTCTTATTAACTGTAGCCCATACCAGGTTTCTCAGTAATTTTAGAAGTTTGTCTTGACTAACTTAATTTTTACAGGAATTCTATATCCAGTGTCTAGTGTCTTTGCTAGCATATTTGTATCTCCTGGCATAAATTTGGTCCTGATGAGGTTTGCTGGCAACTCCAAAATTGAAGGGGTATCAGTGTACAAGAGATCAAATGTTAAGTGAAGTTACAATTAGCAAAAATAGTAGAACCTACAGGCGAAGGGCAAGGTATTTGGTAATAATTAATGTTCAGTACAAAAATAGCAAATTAATAGCTGGTGCATGTCAGGAGAATGTTACAAGACTGCTGTACACAATAATATTACTTTGTTGTGATATAGCCTTGACAAATTCACTCAGTAAAAACCTAGCTAGATAGAATGGTGTTCTTTGCTCTGTCCTAATTTAGGAGAAGTTGCTGATACCAGAGAAGCCATCAAATTAGATGCCAGCATGATACTAATAGCTCTCATTTTTGTCTTATGTTATGGACATCACCACATTCTGAGTCTTCACATTTCAGTTGCTTGCATTTTTCTGAAACTGTAGTAACTTGGAGTAAAAGTTTCCAAGGTGTACGTCTCAGATGTTCTGGCCCAGTTTACTTCAGAAAATGTCATTCCAACGTGGCTTTGCTGTTTCTGAAAGGGAGGCTAAAGAAGAAACCTTAAAAGCTTCTGCAGTATCTTCTTTATCTCCAGCACTGGGGGCAGTTTGGTGTGTCACAGTGTAAGGGAATTTGGAGAGTTGCCCAAAGGAGGACAAGCAAAAGAGTGAAGGATATTGAAGGGATGCCATATGAGGAGCAGCTGAGGTCACTTGGTCTGTTCAGCCTGGAGAAAAGGAGACTGAGAGGAGACCTCCCTGCAGTTAGAGCTTCCTCATGAGGGGAAGAGGAGGGGCAGGCACTGATCTCTCTCTGTGGTGACAGTGACAGGACCTGAGGGAATGGCCTGAAGTTGTGTCAGGGAGGGTTAGGTTGGATATGAGGTAAAGATTCTTTACCCAGAGGATGGTTGGGCACTGGAATGGCATCCCAGAGAAGTGGTACAGCACTGAGCCTGCCAGAGTTCAGGAAGCAATAGGACAATGCTCTCACACACATGGTGTGACTCTTGGGGCTGTCTTGTTTGAGACCAAGAGACAGTCTCAATGATGCTTGTGGGTCTCTTCCAGTTCAGAGTATTCTGTGATGATGTTTTAGTCAAGGGATGGATGTAAAATTCAGAAGAGCTGAAAAAGACAGTAAGATGAGAAATTTGGGGGCAGAGACACAGTTTATAAGCAAGTAGGGAAGAGGAAAGAAACTGAAAAAGTGGGAGAAATACACATAGAAAATAGGGTGAGATAGATAATGCCAAATAAGACTGGATAGATAAGAAGACACATGGATGGAGGGGTGAGCATGCTGAAAAGAGTGAATTAAAGGGGTCCTTCTTAGGAGAATGACAAAGGAGCAGGAACCTGTAAGAGTACTTCCTTTCATGTCCTTCAATCTCTTTAAAATTCTGAAACTTCCCATCCTGGTGCCAGCAAATATCACTTGAAAATCACTTGCTTAAGATGTAGCTCACCTCCTTTAACTTGGCCCTGCTGGCAGACTGTGTTCACACCTGTTAGCTAAGACAGCAAAGGTCTGGTCTATCCCTGCTGATATGAATCACAGCAGTAGTTATATGGTACCACATAATGGCATTCCTTTATGTGCTTTTCTAAAAGCTAGGAAATTGCACATAACAAGTTAGAAGCATCTGATGAGCAGTATAGAAAAGTCTGTAAAGAAATTAATCATTCTGCCTTCAGAATAGAGCTGGAATAATGTTCAGTAAACAAGGCTTTTAGGGCTATACATCAAATAAAAAGGGTGAAAATAAAATATTGAATGGCTGCTAGCTAAATGATTTTGTCCTGTGTACTGAATGAGACACTGTCCCCATGGAGAACTTAAGACTGAGTTTATGCAATTGAGGATGTAATGTGACAAGTGGTAAATTCTGAATCTCCTCGAGGCCATCAGAAGAAAACTGAATGCCTTTCTGAAATGTATGTATTAGCCAAGTACTAGCTGTACTTTTATTAAAAATACAAGTTCTTGAGCACAGTATGTTCAGTCTCCTACCAGAGAAAAATACATGGATTATGCAAGAGGGCAAACTAGATTATGAGCTAGTTCCAAGGGGTTTAAAATGATGCAAGACATGCACAGGCAGATGTAATTGAATTCACCCATGGTTCTATGCTGGTCCCCCCAGTTTGAATACACTGTTTTCCCACTCCAGTAGTACTGTTGTGGATATGTAATAATTTAGAAAAAGAGGATCTGATTGTGAGAATTACTGTTTGACTTGGTACAGTTGCCATCCAGCTGACCTAGTCCACTTTAAGGGGAAACTCTGCTGTAGACAGTGCCAAGCCTCCCTGGTGTATCAGCATCAATTAGCAAAGTAGTCGTGTCTCTTCCCCTGTGCCCTTGGAACTGGGTTGTCAAAGCTATATTTGGAAAATTCCAACCTGAAGAGTGTTGCTGGCTTTAAATGAAGGGCACAGATCTAGCAATGAATGAGTCCATTGGGTGTCAGTAACTTCACCCTTACCCAGGGTAGAGTTGCCACCATAATACACAGGAGCTGTCTCTGTGCAGCTGAAAATGGCTGTGTTTTGCTCTCACTGTGGTTTACAATAGCAGTCAAATCAGTGTGCTTTCCTTACAGAGCACCCTGCAGCACGGCAGAGCAGCACCCTACAGCAGCACTGCAGTGCCAAGCCTGTCCCCAGGGTGCCACACTCTGCTTCATCTTAGGGACCTTTGGCACTTCTTGTCCAGTGCTGTGGTTGGGAAACCACAGGCACTTTGAAAATACCACACAGCTGTGCTGCTTCCTGTAACACTTGAAGTTTCTGAGTGATGTCACAGGATCCTTAAGCCTGTATCAGGAATCCACCATTAGCCTTTACAGAGGAAGTACTACTGGCCAATACCTAATCTAAGGAAGTATATTTGTTGAGGAATTTTGTTTTCATTTGAAAAAGACACACAGAATGAGTTTTTGGGGCTATTTGAAGCATAATCCTGAGGTGAGCAGCTGCTCCTTTGGTTGGATAGCTGTTTGCTGCCAGAAACAATTAGCTTGGGTTGGACCCTAAAATTTGTACATCCTGTGAGACCATAGTTTTTTAATAAATGCAACTTGCTAGGGTTCTTTTCCACATTGCTCCTGATGCCATCTCAAAAATTTCTGTCATCCCTGCCTTTACTAGAACAGTTCTGTTTCTTTTTTTCCTTTCACAAGCTCCTTCTGAGGCCTGCTTGCAAGGGCCATAGAGCATTTCTCCCTCCTGGGGGCTGATGGAGTTTCTACTTTCTATCTTTGCTGGTCTGGAAATAAGGACTTCATCCATATATCCACTGGGATCTGTGACAGCACATTTCTACAACCAAATAACTATGGCTTTCTTCAGTATGTACCAAATTTGGTTATATAACATCATGCAATACATAGTTTTGGGATGGTGATAACAAAACTGACATGTGCCCAACCAAGTCAGAAAATATAAGCTGGGGCAGATGACACCTCCTTTTAAAGCAATACACAAATCCACCTACCTGTATGTAACTAGAGAAAGACACTGAAATTTATTAGTTCCCAGCCACCGTGCTTTCAGTACCATTCTCACTTTTGATTCAGAGGAGGAGAAAATCAATGCCAGCATGTTGGATTTGAGTCTGAAAGCTCTATATGTGATATTGCAAGTTAAACTAAACATGTGCTGAGATATTTGGAAGGCTCCTGCCCAGCATGCATCTCACATAGCACTTTGTCAAGTCACAGCAACTCTCATCATGTTTTAGTTCAGGGAAGAAGAGAAAGAATTGTCAATTTAAAAGGGAAGGAAATGGGCACCCTCATCTCCATCGCTATGCCAGATTTAATGAAAACAATAAAAAATACCATCAAAACAAAGCAAAAAAACTGCTTGACTCATACTTGGATATTACTGATTGCAGTGAAAAACTGTAATGATTTATTTCTCTTGAAGGCTGGGGCAAGGGCAATAAGGTTGGTATGAGAATGCTGTCTGCACTACTTCATCCCTATACTTGATAGCAAAACAAAGTTGCTATATATTGGGTTTTGTTCATGATGTGTCCCTATTCATAATGTGTTTTGTTGTGACCATGTGAATGTGTGGAAAACACAATCTTGTGATCACATTTCACTTGCTCCATAATGAAATCAAAGAGAATATAGAGCTAACAGAGACTGTGCTAATCATGAGAGTTGTTCTTTGG